CAGGTTTGAGTTGTGGAATGGTTGATTTTGGAAGAATCTTAACTGTATTGAATAATTGTAAGCTCTGGATGTCTAAAACAAATTGTTAGCTATCATAGTGATTGCAAATTAGTAATATTTTATACAATAAATATTGTATATTGCAAAACTAGTGTGAAAACACAAAACATGTGAACACAATGTGAAAGATCATACAAGTCATGGCTTTATACCTTGAAATAATGATGATCAGTTTGCATGATGAGTTACAATAAAATACAACTTTCAATGCTTGTTTATATTAGGAAAGGATTAGAACATTTCGAATTATGTGAGATGTTTATATTATCTAAAAACATTTTTACTTATATGTAAGATATTGGAGCGAACTAAATATGTATATCAAGCTTCTTCGAAGATGAAAGACATAACAAAAACTTTTTTTATTTATGGCTGCATTTCCTAATTCCTCATCTCTTAGTTGTTATTAAGAACAAATGAAAAGGAAGGAACATTTTTGAGTTATGGTTGTATCTCCGCTCCATCTCCCAGTTGTTATTAGGAACACATGAAAATGGAAGAAGATGAACATTTTTTTGTTATGGTTGCATCTCCTAGTTGTTACAAGCTGACTAACAATTTTAAATGGGATGATATGCGGGGTGAAATGAGAGTTAGTCATGGAAAAATGAGAATTAAGCGAGTCAAAATTAAATGAGAGTTAGTCATTCTCATTGTGGGCAAAATGAGAATTAAATGAGTCAAAATTAAACATAGATCCAAATTTGTATAATAGAAACTGTTTTTCATCAAAATCTCTCGATTTAGGAATTACAGAGTTTAACTCTCACAACCCAAATCCCAAATACACCCAAGTCACTCACACACCGATACTAAAAGAAAGAACAAATAGTGCCACACCCAAAGACCAGTAGAGAAATGGATTTTTCTCTCACTGATCAGACAAGCAAACGTCTTCAAATGTGCAGCCACAACAAAGAGGAGCAGCAGCTCCTTTATCTCCCTCTCTCACATGGTGCAAACGGCACCTCCAAGATGGTGCGACACACTGCCCACACACACCTCACTTGCATGATTCCTTTCTCCCTTTTATAAACCCATGCAGCAACTCTCCAAATGAGAGAGAAACCGCATGCCGAAGAAAGCCACGTGATGGTCAGTCAAAGAAGCCTTGAGACATGCACCATTAGCAGCCCATAAATATGCCTCGAGCCATGCACCTCGTTTCCTCTATTTGACAAAAGACCATCCCTTTAACAGCATGCCCACGTGAGTTGCTCCATTCCAATTACTTTAGGTGCAGACCCCACTTCATCTCCTTGTCTCTAGCCTTTTAACAAAGATGGCATGTGCCATCATTTCCCATTTGAAAAACCACGGCATGACAAATGAAGAAAGCTAGCAAACAACAATAAAGTGGCCCTTACACAATTAATTAATCAATACAATTTGGGCCAATTTTTAACAATGGTTGCATCTCCTAGTTGTTACAAGCTGACTAACAATTTTAAATGGGATGATATGCGGGGTGAAATGAGAGTTAGTCATGGAAAAATGAGAATTAAGCGAGTCAAAATTAAATGAGAGTTAGTCATTCTCATTGTGGGCAAAATGAGAATTAAATGAGTCAAAATTAAACATAGATCCAAATTTGTATAATAGAAACTGTTTTTCATCAAAATCTCTCGATAAGTGGAAGAGGCACAAATCCTTTTGCCTATTCATTCAAAGAAACTTTCTATTGACTTTCACTTTCGTTGATCCCCTTTTTGGACACCAAATATGAAGGACAATGTATAAATGGAAAACTCGATGATACATCCAATTGAATTGTGAATTGGATTTGCTAGTTGGATACTCGATGATAATTAGGGTTTCGAGTCCTGAAGAAATAATGGGAACAAACATGTGTGGAGGTTTAGTTTGGTCAATGTCACTTTAACTTTGTGATCTTAATTTAATTTCCTTCCATTTTCCTTGCACGTGTGATATGTCATTGTGATTATTTCAGGTTTTTTTTATATGAAATTTTTTGTCAAATTAAATGGTAAGTGAACAATCCACAGAGCAAGCCCTTATTAGGCTATTTGATTCTTGACTTGAGAAGTATTTTCGTCTAGCTCTTGTCACTTCCATTCCATACCACAGTGGTTGAAACTTGAAGGTTGTTTTCACAAAAAGAAAAAAAGAAGCTTAATTAGTAATAAATTGATCATGTTAAAAAAAATATATATACAAGTGGAAACCCTTACCAAGTACCATGTTTAGGTTCTAGTCTCGGAAACACAAAAAATATGAACACAAGTCATAATTTTTTCCCCTGAAATAATAAAGGATCGGTTTGCATGGTATGGTACAATAAATAAAAGATTTGTTGTAATAGGTATGTCGGAGTGAAATAGAACTTGTGCTTGTTTATGTAAGGGAAAAATACATTATAATAAGACGTGAAACATATGTTTATTTACTTCAATTTGTCGATTTATGTAAGATATTGGAGTGAACTAAATATATTTGACAAATAGTGAAGGAGGGGTGATTTGTTGGACTGCGAAAGATTATTGAAGCTTGTGGTAAGGTCTATGATTAGTTGACGAAAGACAAAGAATTCAATTAAAAACAAGCAATGAGATAGTGTATATGGAATATGGAATTGCAACTAGTGTGAGTTTTCAAGAGATGGCATAATCAGACTTGTAACAACTTTGTTGTTGTATGGGTTTCAGGTGTTAACATAGCCTTTGTTTTTGTTGCATGGAATAACAACTATGTTTTTGTTGTACGAAATAATTTACTAATTACAATTACACTGGTGTTTGTTCTGTCGAGATACAAAATTAATTACCATTATTTCCGTTGAAATAATGGGAACAATATTTAGTTTGGTAAATGCCACTTTAACTTTGTGATCCAGGATCTTAATTTAATTTCCTTGACATGTGACATGTCACTGTGATTATTTCAGACTTTTTTTTTATTAAAAAAAATATGAAAAGTTCTGTCAAATTATATGCTAAGTGAACATTCCACAGAGCAAGCCTTTCCTTAAGGTGGTGGCCTAAGCCTAAACGAATAGTATAACTGTTTCTGTTAACCTTTTCTTAAATGTTTAAATAAAGTAAAAAACTGTACAATAATAAGCTTAAGCTTAATTAGTAATATGTTGATAATATTTAACGACAGAGTGAAAGTACAAAGTTTATGTAATACCCTCAAAAATAATATTTGGTTTTATTATTTTTGTGGAAAATATTATTAAGTCGTGTGACTATTTTGGATGTTGTATGATTTTGGTTTGGTGTGGAAATATTGGAATTAAGTGACTTAATCTCAATTTGGGACAAAATACCTTTATGATTTTACAAAGGAAGTACAAGAAATTGAAGTGAGAAAATTATGATTTTTGAATTGGAAAATCAAGATTGATCTCACGAACGCGTAGGCGCAAACGGTTCGTGAATCCGAGTTGAAACAAAGAAGTTACACTCGTTTGAAGTTTCAGGGACTAAATTGCAAACAGAGACTTTGCCTATAAATGTCAGATGGACACTGTTGAGGATTCAGAAATTGCAATTGAATCCGGAAGTTTGAGAGCTCGTCGGAGAGGCGATTTCCGGCGGCGTCTGCGGCGGCGTACGGTGGAGGTGATCGACACCACCAACCCAGATAGAAAGCCTGATATCTTGTGAACATAACCCAAGAAGAATCGGAGCCATCGGAGGTGTGGTGAAGGTAGGGCGACGCCGCGAAGTTGGTTCGTCAATAGTGAAATCAGCAACTTCAACCGGCGGTTTGAGTCACTTACGCTTCGAATTGGACCTCGAGGTAAGAATTAAAGTTGTTCTACTCAGTATTACGAACATTTTGGCATAGGTCTTGACCGGCGATTTTAGGGTGGTCCGTCGCCGGAATAGTACCCGAACCACCACCGGCGGTGGCGGCGCGTGGCGGCGCATTAATTGTTGTTGAAAATTCGGGGCGTGACAGTTTATGTTATAGTTCATCCAAAAAAGAAGTATAAGTTTGTCT